AATTCGTAGTACAATCATCTCTTGAACTAGAACATTTTTGACCTAGAACACAATAGTACAAAGGCTCTACAGACAGCTTTTGAATAGAAAGCATGTTACACAGAATCTTTAAAACTGCATTGTCAGCAATGCATAATTAAGAAAACTATTCTGTTCTGACTACGAAGCCAAAATATACAAAAGCTTGTAATTATTTTTTATTATGTAAAGCTTAAAATTTGCTACCGTTTCTGATACAGGCAGAAACGAAACTTCATTTCAAGGAATTAGGCTAAATAAATTAGGCCAAAAGCCCAAATTCCTAAAACCATCGTTTATTTACTTATAATCCTAACCTTTCTTTTATATAAACAAAACAAAACAAAAAAAGGGGGGCGCTTGGATCCCTTGAAAGGTACTTACTTATGGCCCCAGGTTATCTTAATCAGGTTTGTTCTTTACAATGACTTTCTTTACAGAAAAATTAATTTTTAGTAAGCATTAAAGTAACAGACGCATATTGCGAAATAATAACTTTAAAATTTTGTTGCTGAAGTTTAGGCAGTATTTTGTCGAAATCATTTACCCACTGTTCTTAAATACATATATTATATATTTTTACGGCTGCAACCCGTGTAAATCTTGGTACATTTTTTACACTCAACCCAAACTCTTAAATTTACGCACTTTTCTAGCAAACTATAAGGTAAATTATTCGAAATGTCGAAATGAAAAATATTTCACATTCTAAACCGTACAAACAAACTGAAATCTTTCTTCTTAAATTTGGTTTGATCTTAAATTCAGGATTTCGTGATACTTTACAGAAGGCACTAACTGATTATAATGTGCAGTCTTTAGTTTTTTATTTTTAAGTAGCGGAAATCTTGGAAAATAACTCTGCTCCCACTGGAAAATGAATACGAGATTTTCCGGTTGATAGTTGGATGCCCGGACCAACGCATAGCACGGAAACATAGAAGGAATTCATTCCTTACACATACAAAGCTTATGTAAAAATATAAACTCTAATTAAGAAATGTAAGACAGATTTCCTAACTCATTTAGCAAAATTAATTTATCTTTTAACAGAAAACTAGAAAAAAAAATAGCTATCATCATTCGAGAAATGAAACACGAATTCAAAGCACGCTCTAAACGTAACTGAAACCAATTTGATGGGCTTATGAGGCAACCTCGATGATGCAATTTTGCGACGGAACGAATTATTGCAAAATTTTTCTGTACCTCCTCTCTGTTTTGAGGTTGGGAAATGTTAACAACTGTCGTCATGGGAATCATCAGACGTAGCAGCGATCAGACGTACCACGCAACTCTCCACATTGCAGGTGTTTTACTTGTGTTTCAGTCTTCCGTAATAACAGGGAATTTTGTCCTCTAGCCTATGACACAGGATTATGTTACTCCATCTTTCGCATTCACGAAACTGAGTGATGTTGCTAAGAGTCACTTCCAAGCACAAATTACGTAAGCCGTAGACTTATAGTTGTAATTTACGCACTTAGCTGGCAGACTTTGTTTAGTCTGGATTAGAAATGTCTGTTCTATTCAAAACAATTTTAAATTCCTGCTATTCATTTTACTCCCTAATTCTAATTTGTGCTTAGGATTTCAACGATTTTTTAGAAATAGCCAGCATTATTTATTCAGACTCAAAATAAACCAATCTTCATTCTATGAAAACAAATAAGACTGATGCCAGTTTTTGCTTCCGTATGCATTATGCATGGCATGGCGTAGTAAGTCTAGTTGTTAAAGATATTATCTACAAACAAATCCTTTTTTTTTTTTTTCCGTAGGCTGCATATTGTATATTCTAAAGTGACATATTTAAGCGTAAAAGATGTATCACCGTCTGTAACTCAATGACCAACTGTTCCCCCCCCCGTAATCATGAGTAATGCTTCCAAGACTTACCGCAGACATGTGAAACCGCAAATAACAAGCAAATGCTATACAAAACAGAATATTGTTATGATAGACGCAAACAGGGTCATGATTAACTGGTAAATTATATATGATACCAAAATTAAATAAAATAATGATAAAGATACTATACACAACACTACATTTCGTAACATTTTATTGTAGTTATTGTACACTTTCTATCTCCCACACTGATACTGGATATTAGAACCTTAATTTAATTCATATAAGGTGAGTGAAAAAGAAGAAAAGTAGTTTCTTTACAAAATAGTATGATGTACATTTTTAAAGGATGGTAGAAGTAAAAATCTCCCCCCCCTCGAGAAAAACGATGTAAATTTCTGGTTTACACGAGACAAATCAGAATAAGCAGAACCTGAGCAAGTAGGGGCTAATTTTATGGAGGGAACGAATAAGTTCGTGGAGGATTTTCTAAGGAAAACTGCCTCGAATTCACGTTACACATTAGGGAAAATTACGAAAGCCAAGTATGCAGCTAGCCTGTTCGCCTGGATTCGAACCCTGGGCGAACTACCAGTATTCAGCCATTTTAACCACTAAGCCACATGTGGGTTGCGGAAATAAAGTATGTTTTGTTAAATACCTTCTTACGATTGATAGCCAATAGCAGTGAAGCAGAATCCAAACGAAGAAACGCGCTTATATAAGGGTGAGTTAGGTTAATTTTGATAACATAAATTTTATTAACCTATTATCGGACTTGTGTGCATTCAATCTATTACGAATCCGTACGCACCCAACAAATTTGGTGTTAGAAGTGGGATTGAATGCTGGTGATACGAGCGATGGAAGAGCAACTAAGACAGCTGGTGACTGCCTTTGCTGCATTCCAAGAAAAGATGGAAGGGGCCGTCAACACCGCCAAAGAAGAAATGAAAGCAGGACAACAGGACAAGAATCTGTTAAAGGAGAGATGAAACGAGTCAAGAAAAGATGAAATTCGAGGCTATGGAAGACAGAATAGACACGGTGGATGGTAAAGCTGGAGAACTTTCAAGAAAGAGTTTCTGCTGCTGTCGCCAAGTAAGTTTAAGAAGTCCATAACAACAGCTGGTTACAATTCGAACACTTTTGAATTCGAACATATATCGTCCAGACACTCTCTAAAGCTATCCACATATGATGGGAAAACTTCCTGGCAAGTGTACAAGACACAGTTCACTGTAGGGGCAAACGTAAATGGATGGCATTTCTAAGCTAAAGCCTGCCATCTAGTCGCTTCTCTGAGAGTAGACACAGCGGATATCCTCCAGACTATTCCCGAAAACCAGAGGCTAGACTTTGAAGCTCTATCACAAGTGTTAGAGCTGAGCTTTGGGAAGAAGTGCTAAACAATGTACCAGGCTTCAATTAAAATCTCGTGAACAGAAAACCACGGAAACACCCCAGGAGCTCGTCACGGATGTTGAAAGACTGTCTAATCCCGCTTTATCGGACTTCCGAACAGAAATATGGCAAATGCTGACCCTGCAGCTCTTCATCGATGTCATGCGGGACCCTGAGATACAGCAAGTTCTGAGAATGGCGGAGGTCAAGGATTTAAAAAGCGCTTTAGTGTATTACATGAAATTCGAGGCAGCCCAGCAAGCAAATAGTAGAGACTGCCACTCAAGCAGAGCTGCTCAGTACAGGAGCCAGTGTATCAAGTGACTGCTTGTCTAGATGATTTAACTAGATAAGTGAGTGACTTCATACGGAATAGGCGTGACAAGAAACTTACCCTAAAGTGCTGGAACTGCGATGCTGAAGGCTACGTACAAAAGAACTGCAGAAAACTCCAAGGCACGGAAAATATGACAGATTTCAGCAAACCCCATTTTAAAGCGCTTCAGATTTCTTCAGTTAGTGACAGTTATGGATTCTTTAAGAAAGGACATGTAAATGGTTTGGAAGTACCGCCTACCATCACACGGTATATGTAGCAAATATTGCAGACTCTTATATACTCAGATTAGTCTTTCTACGGAACTATAATTTTTCCTTGAACTTTAAAAATAACGACATGCATTCTGCCTCTGAAGGCGTAACTGTATTTGGATTTAATGAAGGAGTTAAATCTGTCCTCCAAATCATAGCTCAAGACGATATCACAGTACCAGCAAAAGCAGAATTTTTACTTCCTGGATCCATAGCCGAAAACAGAAATTTCCGATATGGTGTCATGCAATACCACAAAAACTGTACCACCATTCAAGGAGTACTAGTTGTCTCGGAAATCGTCTACTTATCGAGGACCGTCATCCCGGTTAGGGTTGCCAACGTCAGTGATAAAGCGAAAATCATTGGGAAAGGCGAAGTGGTTGCAGCATGTACTCAAGTGACTAGCATTAAACGACCCAATGGGTCCAATAAAACTCTGTGTCTTCGGAAGTGTTATGGTATTCAGTGTAGTCATTGAGATGGTTAGGTTATTTTTTTTATTTAATTACGTCAAAGCCTCGAGGGCTATGTGCCTAAGGGGAGGGATGCCTTCGTGGACGAATTTCTAAGTAGTCATTGAGATGAAAAGCACAGTGAAACTGCATGTTTTCTTAATTAATAATATTCTTAACCAGACATCTTAGAATCAGATGGAATCGTGAACACTGCTCTTTTTGCCGATGATCTTGTCGTATGGGCCAGAGTTAAAAAAAAATCAAGATGGTTTAAACCGAACCTTAAACTCTGAGCTCCAGAGACTTGAGGAGTGGTGTTCTGCTAATAATATGAGAGTTAATTAGGGGAAGACTACTTGTCACTTTTTCTCTCTCAACAGACAGCACTTTACTCCTAGACTAATGTATGAGAAGTCGGTTTTGCAGCAGACGGATGGTGCCACCTATCTTGGCTGTATTTTTGACAAGCGTCTAACCTGGAGATAGCATGCAGAGCATGTAGTTGCTAAGGCGGAGCGTAGACCAATACTACATTATTGCTGTGAGATATTGATTTCGGCTACGCGAGATGTGATACAACGTCTGGAGGTCTTCCAAAATCAGGCATTGCGCATTATAACCGGGACTGTTAAAACGACTCCCGTTCTGGCAATGCAGTTGGTATCGGTAAACCAACCAATGACAAACCTGATTCAGAAAAATGCTTTCATCCCCTTCCAGAGACTTATTCATCTACCAAGTAACCCTCATTGGAGAAATTATGATTATAATAAACAACGAAATCTGAAGACACAAAATGGCTTTCTGCAGTGTGTCTTTCGCCTAGAACAATACAATCATTTAAGAACACTGAAACCGGCACTGCTGTTTTTGCTAAATCCGTTGGATTATAGCTTCCTTTATGTGCGGTTGGACCTGGAAATGAAAGTTGATAAGAAGGAAATGAGTCCAGAGCAAATAAGAACTATAGCTTTGGAAACAATTGAGCAACGTTTTCCGGCTGAGGAATGGATACGTGTATATACGGATGGCTCTTTGATCGATAGGATTCCAAGGGCTGGAGCTGGAGTTTTTAGCAAGCTTTTCAGTTTCTACATACCTGTAGGGGCTTACTCCACTCACTTTGATGGAGCCATTCATGTAGCTCTCCAACAATTATCATTGAGACAGAGCTCGTTCAGGAGGGCTGTTGTACTGTATGATTTGACTTCAGCAATGCAGGCCATCTCCTCTTACCAAGAGTGTAAGAACACATGCGTTCAACAGTGTCAGGAAGTCATAAAAGAACTTTCCCACGAGATATCTTTTCGATGGGTACCTTCACACTGAGGTATTTATGGGAATGAGATGGCTGATATGCTTGCGAAAAAAGGGGCTACGGTTCTCCAAAAGCCAAAAACGAGTGCAAGCCTCCATTCTATTAAGCTTCTGACATCGCTAACATATCAAAAGACTTTTAGAGATTTTGCTACTCGGGCTAGTGAGGGCAAGCCTTGGAGTGTTCTCTCATCAAATCCAGCTTTTGTTCCTGACCACCTGCGAACAATTGCGGTTGCATCTTTTAGACTATTGACGGGACATGACTGTCTACAGAATCATTTATTTAGCATTGGACTAGCTGATTCGCCGTTGTGTGTTTTATGTAATTGTGGACGGCTAATGACGGCGGAACATTTGGACGAGTGTGAAGCACTGACAAATTTTCTTGTAGATTTCAACGCTATTGGTAAGCAAGGAGTTTAATGGCCTAACGGCCAATGTAACTGGCATTTGACAAATAAAAAAATATAAAAATTATTTGACAGGAAGAAATCAAATGGTTCGGAAAGGTCAAGCTATAAACTAAATGCAGGGTGTTGCAAAGATTGAGAAATCTTGAAAGAATTCATGAAGATATATCATTTCTTTAATAAGTTGAAAAGTAAATGTATTTGAGAGGGCTTGATTTGGTTCAGTTGACTCTGGCAAAGCACACTGGGGCTATCTGCCTAAGGGTAGGGATGCCTTCATGGGGATACCTTCGTGAAGGACTTCCTAAGGCAAACCGGTTCGTATACACGTTACACATGGGAAAAAACACGAAAACGCCCATGCAGCCAGCCCATCAGCCTGGAATCGAACCCAGGTCAGAACTACCAGCGTTCAGCGACTTTACCGCTCGGCCGCTGGTGGGCCTAAAATACCTATACGAATCTATCAAGATTGTCAGGAAATAGTCGCATTTAATTTTTAAAGCTCATCCTTGAAGAAAGCCTACCTATTACCGAAAGGTTAAGAAAGTTTGAACACTTTTCCCCAAAAAACTTCCTAAAAAATTGATTCTGATCGAACACTCGCAAGTTTCCCTAAGAAAGTCCTTCACGAAAGCCTGCTTTTCCTTAAGCAGGTAGATAAGCCGAACAGGGGCCGAGCGGTAAAGACTCTGAATACTGGCAGTTAGACCTGGGTTCGAATCCAGGCGAACGGGCTGGCTGCATATGCGTTTTCGGGTTCTTTACCATGTGTAAATAAATACAAGCCAGAAAAGAAGCCCTTAGAAAGTATCCCACCGGTTAGGCAGATAGTTTTTGCGTTCCTTATCATTTAATCTGCCAACCTAACTGGGAAAAATATTTTTCAGAATCAACTGCATTGCTTCTCTCAGCCGACGTAGTGGCCAAGTCTCTTTTTATTGATTAGCTGAAATATTCACTTTATTATAAAAATATTTATAAAGATTACCTTCCAGTGGTAGTGAAAAGCTAGCAACATAATACCTGCTACTGATGTGACCACAAAAAACATTGCGCGAAGGTTTTAATGCATTTGAAATATAAAATTGTAAGCTAATCCGATTTAAAGGCGAACAACCTCTCGAAACGTCGCAGCTGGCTGTCAGTAGCGTGTGTTTCCTATCGACCCTTTAACATTTGGATTTTGTAAGACAATCCTCGCTTTATTGGCCTTGGTCAGTTTAGAAGGAACATAACGAGAAGTTCTGGGATTAGGAGAAAAGTGGTGAAGCAATACTGTTTTAGACTCTCGGAAACTGTAACTTCCGTACTTTTTACCTGAATTTGAAAAAACAGTGGATTAAGATAAACAAAAATATGAAGAAGGATTTCGAAAGGTGAAACAGTCGGAAATGCATCAGTTGAGAAATATAAAATTCCGTCTAAAGAAGAAGGGGAGGGAAGAGAGGAAAATTCTGATCCTCAAGAGAATTTATCTAGAATTTATTTCCCGTCGTTGACAAATGAAATCAAAGCATTAAATATATGTTCTTCGAAGCGGTCATTATAGTATGTCGATCACAACTCTGATATTTCGTATTATTTTACTGAAGGTTCACAATGATCGATGAATATGAATGCATGCCAGCACTTCACGAGCGGATTTTTAATTCGAAACTTGGTTGATAAGGTCCTGATAGGGATTATTCAATCTCACAGATTCTCAAAAAAGGTTACACGAATACAGTAAACAAGCCTCTGTATTGAAATTACTTTAAAATGCACCAAAGTAAGATGGTTTAGTTTGGTTTTCATGGCAAAGCACTCGAGGGCTATCTCGGAGGGATGCCTTCGTGGAGGACTTTCTAAGGGAACTGGCTCGTATACACGCTTCACATGGGAAAACCACGAAAAGGGCCGTGAAGACAGCCCATTTAGTAAAATTGTAACCTCTGACAGAACTACCAGTGTTCAGCGACTTTCCGTTCGGTCGCTGGTGGGCCCTACCACAGTAAGGAATACAGATCCTCTTAAATATAAGTTACAAAAAAATGGAACATGGCACTCAAAATAACGTTACTTGTTTACTTATTTATTTTGAAATAGTCGGAATCATATTCAAAAATTCGTTAGAGGGGTCAAGCAGGAAATATTCGAATTGATAGCCTGGATTGGTAACCTAGGTTTCTACAACCTGAATGAACTGGTAATTTGGTAAGGAAAACGTATTTATTAGAAAAGAAAAATGTCAGTTTTTCAGAAATTTCTTTCCGAGTTTCAGAAATGAATTTTCAATAGATATTAAATTTTTTTTGGGGGGGGGGGCGTTGAGGGAAGGATTTATAATCGCAGTTTTCTGATCATATCTTCTATCTACAGAAGGTTAAGTGGTTTGACTTAAGGAAGCTTGTCAAGGTTAGTTACGTGAAATATAAGATAGCAGTTTGCATCGAAGGGAAGCATGCAAGCTAGATGATAAAAATAAAACGGTAAATAAAAATACAGAAGAGCAATTAATAGAAACAACCCTACTTTTTGCTATAGTATGAAAGCCTTACTTGCTTGTTACTCAAACGACGCGGCGATCGCTGTAAAACAGGAAATCCAAATCACGCGATCAAAGTACTACACATCACTAAGCAGAAACAGAACTGCTGTTGTTCAACTAGAAAGTAAGCATTAATGGCATTAAATCATAGCTCTTGATAATCAGAATAAAAAATCTAGATTTTTTGCTTCTGATAATCAGAAAGAACACTCAGTAGACTTTCAATACTAAAACTCCCGTAGCGAACAAAGCACAGTACCTCGGTGCCACTATGTCATGTGATCCGAGAGTTTTGTATAGAATTGCACTTGGGGTACTTTCTGTTACACAAAAGTATTATAAATTTCTTCACTTAATTACTAATACTCACTTCTGGACGAGAGGTAAAGTCACTTAATACTGGTAGTTCGAACTGGTAGTGCACTCAGACTCGAATGCCAGGGAACGGGCAGGTTGCATCGGAGTTTTCGTGCATTTCCGATATGTAACGGAAACCGATTTCCCTTAAAAAGTTCCTCCACGAAGGCATTCCGTCTCGTAATTGGCCTTGTACTTGATCCGTTTTTTATAGCAAACTTCCCTAGGGTGCAACTTAATAACAATGCAATCCTAGCCTATGCGGATGATACCGCCTTGGCGGTAAATTCAGCCAATGTTAACCACGCCATTAAAATGCTGCAAACCAGCATTCCGAGTATTGAACAGTGGTGTAGCTACTGGAAAATATGTATTAACGCCCAAAAGTCACAACTCCTGCTTGTTAGAGGGGAAACGTGGAATTTAAAGCCAAAGAAAAATCTCTTCCTTTTCAACGAGCCGGTACCCATTGTTCCAAAGGCTAATTACCTAGGAATCATCATTAATGACAAACTCACGTGGTCACATCACATTGATCAAGTGAGAAGCAAAGCAACTGAAACTTTATGTCAAGTCTTTTAAGCAAGTCATGAAGTGCAAAACAGATTTTGGCACTTTTCCGTTTTGCCGGCGCAACCGATAAAGTCGCCAGTAATGGTACAATTGATGCGAAACGGAATATCTTCGCTGGTAACCTTTTACCCTTCATTTTCAAAACAAGTCGCAGCCATTTCTTATCAGATTGATAGTTTCTTTCAATAATGGCATACAATTACATAGAATTTTTAATAGTTAAATTTTATGCCCTAAGACCATTCGCGGTAATTAATTAGGATGCAATCACACCACTCACTCGAAGGCGAAAATATAGAATAGGCAAAATCAAGGGTTAAATTCATCAAATCTAATGAGAATGCACTAGCGAAGTAAAGCACTGCGGTTTTACATAACTGAATAAGCTATTCGTACGAAATGAAATAATTCTTGCATTTAAACTTGCATTCCGTAAGATTTAACTTGAAATTAATGTAGATAATTACTGAGAACATTGGATTTTTGTAGCGTAGTTTACGTGAGATAAGATCACTTGGGGTCACGTGATACGAACCGGCGAATCAGGATGTTGAATCATGAAAGCATAGTAAATTATTAAATTAATGTCCTTTTACAAATTTATTGTCTTTATTTATTGGCTTTTTACAAAATTTTAAACCATATTAAAATGTTTATGCCTTCAAAATAAAAAATTCTTAGGACTAACAAACAAAATCTGCTTGGCGAGATTTGCGCCGGCGAAACGGAAAAGTACCCAGATTTCTAAGGATCAGCACTAACGCACATTATTTTGTTCGAAAAAAACTTCCACATGCTGATTTCAAACTGGATACATTGGATAACTTTCTCAGGAAGGCTAACAAAAAATTCTTCGAGAGTGCTCAATATTGTGACCAAATGAACTTTTTCGAACTTTTCACTACGAAGTGCTCAACGAAGATAGATATCTTCGTTCCCATTCAGCCTTCATTCTCAGTGAAAACCAGGACTCTACCACTTAACCTTGTGAAAAGTTCTTGTACAGTTATGGCACTACTTTATACAGATGTATTTTATTTTCAAAGTTTAATTCCTGCAGATTCCAGCAGCACTGAGGTGGGTGACCACCTATGTGACTCGGACCTCTGCTCGTTGTGTTATTTAGCTCCTGTTACTGAACTTTACCACCTATGATTTGAACCTATGTATATAGATTCATGGACTGCCTTCTGCAACTAATTATATATAATCTTATATCTTCATTTATTATTTATTCCACTGTAATGTATTTTGTTTGCTGCACGTTTGGGAAGATTTTAATCCAAATTGCGTGATAATGCGATCATGAACTTTGATTTGATACGCTGTCATCAGTATTGTTACCCAAGTTAATCTGTATAGCGATTAGGGCTGTTATAAGACTGTTTTATGTATCAATTACTCAGCCTCTATCCCTGATAGCTGTCCTCTTGAACTCATTGACCAAAAAATCACTCTACTTCAAGCGCCCACTGAGGCAGACACATCAAGACAGCCGGAAAACAACATGCATTTAGCATGTTAATCGCGGCGACTAGCGGAACCTGGAAGCATTCCTTCCAATAGGCAGATAGCCATCAGTTTGGCTTTGCCTTGGTCAGTTAATCTAACCTAACCTAATACTCACTTCTTCGTCAGTAAATATTTGCTCCATCAGCCATAAACGGTAGAAAACTACTTAAACCTGTTAAATAAAAGCTTCAACAACAAAGCAGTGATATGTAAGTACGTTAATTACTCATAATTATTTAATTACGTATTACTTAAGGAAGGTTGTGATGCCCGCCCTTCGCAGTTCATATGAGCAATATAAATCGCTGATGTAGATATGGTGAACATCATTATTGGTAAGTCTGCTGGGAAGCTGCTTTTAAAAGTACCTTTGTCAAATAATACGATTAGTCGGAGAATACAGCATATGGCGTAAGATATCAACGATCAATTAATTGAAAAAATTAAAGCTGTGGAATTTGGATTAGAGCTAGATGAGGCTACGGATAAAGATGCTCATTTGATATGCTATGTAAGGTTTACAGATGGTAATAATATTAAAGAAGACCTTCTGTTTCGTAAAAATAAAACTGCAGGAGCGAAGGCTCGAGACCTGTTCGAGATTACTGATGCATTCAGATATGAAAATAATATGGCCTTAAGTGCGTTGGTGTCTGTAACTGATGGAGCACGCTCCATGTCTGGCTGCTATGGAGGCCTTACAGGCACTTTTCCGAAGCAAATCATCAAATGCACTGTGGACCCACTGCATTATTCATAGAAAACCACTTGCGTCAAAGCATCTGAGTCCTGTACTGAATCAGGTGTTAGAATATGTAGTGAATGTGGTAAATTTTATTAAATCTCGTCTATTGAAAAAAAGCAAGGCTTTTTACAAAAATCGGCACACAAATCCCATATCCTTGGACATCCCATATCCACACAAATCCCATATCCACATCCCATATCCTTGGGATTTTGTAAAAATCCCAAGGATATGGGAGCCGAACACTCATCTTTGTTGTACTACTGCAGTGCACATTGGCTCTCTCGTGGTAATGTTTTATCACGTTCCTTTGAGTTGCGGCAAGAAATTTTTATTTTCCTTAAAGAAGTAGGACATAAAGATGCAGAAGTCGATTTTTTAATAAAACTGGCACACTTATGCGACATTTTTGAAAAGCTGAATTCCCTCAATCGCTCTCTGCAAGGAAAACCATGCACCTTTTTAGTCAAAGGAAAATATATCAGCTTTTATATTAAAAAATAAATAAATAAATAAATAAAAACTACGAAAAAAAACAATAAAGATGCAGGCAATGATTGTTTTTTAATATTGCAGGAATTTATTACGTAAATGAACTTGATTTTTCTCAAGCTATAAAAACCATGCTTAAAGCCACTTATCACAGTTAATTATCTAGTTTGATAAATACTTTCAAAATGAAAATTTCGATAGGTTTGCATGGATTCAAGGTCCATTTCACATTAGCGCTCCGTCTGAATTTACTTCTGTGGAAGAAGAGAACTTATCCAGTTATTTTGCGACAACAGTTTGAAGGCAAAATTTGGCAGCATGGAAACGACCGAATTTTGGATTTCAATTAAAGATAAGTATTATAAGGCTCAGAAAAGTTTGGGAACCACTCACTGGCTTAGTTAGCTAAGATACCAGATTGACAAAGCAGCATTCGCTGGATCTGGACTCGGGAGGTTGACCCCATCGAGAATTTCTTTCCCTCCTAAGGAACTTTACATTACTATGTGTAATATTTATAGCTCTGTTTGACATTGTATCACTATTTTAGTGCTTCGTAATTTCTATTCCTTAAGTGTAAATGTGGTACATCACGTTAAATTTGCAGCTGATTGAATTTTAATTCAATATCTATATCCCGTGTGGCTTCTCAGCATCTTTTGATTGGCTGAACAAATTCGTTTGATCATGTGATTTATAAGAGCGAATAGGCTGTCCGCTGTTTTCTATCTCTCTTCGCCTTCCTAGTAAGGAAGATGATGATTCACTCTTATCATTGGCCTATGAGACACTACATGAAGTAGGATACATCGTCACATCGAAACATTCTCGGCTTAATAAAGTATACCATTGCGTTCTATGCTTACTAGAAACAGAAAACATTTTATGAGCTCATAATCCACTTAAATCCGGATTGTTTTCTTTCGGATGAATTATTTTCATATTGAAATGTTGACAAAGCCATACTTCTTTTGAAAAATCGAAATAAAATTTATGCTTATATTTAGTGATACGATTTTTTTAAAGACGAATGAATGCGCAAGGAGGTTTATTTTATTTACCTGATGTATTTGAAACTCAGAAATCAAAACAATTTTAATTTAATTGAAATTTCTGATTTTTTTTAAATTTAAAAATAAATACAGAGTACAATAGCATAAATTTCACAATTTTTGCTGCAAACTTATATCAGAATAAATATGTTCGGTCAGTGTGAATATAGTTTTAAACGATTCCACAAATAAATCTTTAATTTTTGTCTTCTTTATCTATTTAGTAGTTAATAAACATTTTATCTGTCCATCTAGAACATATTTTAGTAGAAATTTTAAGTCACGCGTTTTGCAATTACCTTGCGGTTGAAAAGAATCAGCGAAACCCACAGGCAGACGGTTTGTGAAGGCCTGCACCTGCTTGCGTTGCGAAACATATATTTCGTCGAGTTGCTTTCCTCCACAGCCGCGCCGTACAAATAACGTTACGTAATACCGTCTGGAGATGTGTGATGCAAAACTAAGGGAATAAAATAATCAAAATTTATATAAAAAAACAGAAAAGAAAATTCTTTTACCCCTGCTCAAAGCGCTTCAGACGCTCATTAAATTAGTGGTAAAGCCATTTAAGGCAATCACTCTTCTAAACCATCGGTATTCGCGGTAGTTAAATACTAAGGCATTAACTTAACGCACGGTTAGAGAACAATGCAAAATACAAAAAGGAAGCATTTGTAACAATTGAAAGAATTATCGAATCAAGCCGTTTCTAGATACTTCAGGTATTTTTATTTGTAATTTTATTCACTGGCTTCTGCACAATTCAAGTTCTACAAATTCAAGCTCAACATAATTCATAATGCTTGAATATTACGAGATAAATCTATTTCTCAAGATTTCAAGAGCTATTTTTTGTTTGTTTATTGCCCTATAATCATGTTATTAATACTCAGGTTATTGAAATCGGGTTGTTTCAAGGTGATCGAAAAGTCGCGCGCACCCGAATAAGAAGTTTGGCTTTGCTGATTTAATGTACAGATTATAAGTCATAAAATATATATTACTCATATTTACAGCCTTTCATCATACGAAAACAACATCAAAGCACATCTTTACAGCATATGCCCGAACAGACATATTTGTATTATTAACTTTTTGTCGATCCAGGAGAAGCCATAAATTCTATACATACATTTGCAGCATCCTACCGCACTTCGAAAAGAAATGTTAAGAAAGCGCTGAAAATATATCACTAACGCTTTGCATTAGTTGTACCCATAAATTGGTACACTGAAAGAACACAAATTCCTCATGTCTGATTTAGATCCCCAAGCTTTGAAAATCTTTAGCTAAACAATATGTAGATCTGTTCTCTTCCCCCCCCCAACCTTTTAACTTGTATCGTTCGTTTTCGAGTTCCGGAGGAAATCTCCTCATAAATCTTATTTCGCAAATTTAATCTCCTAATTTACTACATGATCACGCTTTGTAGTGCTTTCAAGCACTTTACTTTCATTTCGTTTCAAATGCGCATTATAAGGTGCCAAAATTAAGCACGGTAGTTATCAGTAAGCTTACTAACAGCTTTAAAATACAATTTTTTTTAAATCTGCAACATCAAAAATGTGAATTGATTTTACGACTACTGCACTGCATAACCCCAGCCCCCCACTCACACCCCCACACACCATACCACACCCCAAACCCCAACCCCACCAAACACCCCCCCCCCCCCCCCCACACACACCCCCCCACACCCCCACACACGACCCACACAACACCCCAGAACACTCCACAACCCCCCACCCCCACAACGCCACCACCCCCTACCCACCCACCACCCCACCACAACCCCCCACCCCCCCACCTCACCCACCACCCCAAGCTCCCCCACCCCACTCCCCCCGACGCACAACCATCCCACCCCACCCCCCAACTCCGCCCCCAGACCCCCCACCCCGCCACAACCACCCAAAACACCCCACCCCACCCAAACACCCCCCCCCACCTACCCACACCCACCTCCCCCCACCCCCCCACCCCACCACCTACCAACCCCAGCACCCCACCGCTGCGTAGCGCTCGACCTCACCGCTTCCACCCACCACCAACCACCCCCCCCCCCCCCCCCCCCCCCACACCCACCCCCACCCCCCCCCCAGCACCACACACACACCACCACCCCCCCGACCCCCCCCCACCCCCCCCCCCCCCCCCCACCCCAACACCCCCCCCCCCCCCCCCGCGCCCCCCAACGCCCACCCCACCACCCCCCCTCCCCCCCCACCCCACCCCCCCCCACCCACAACACCCACCACCCCCCCCCCCCCAACCCCCCCACCACCCAACACCCCACCCCCCCGCACCCCACCACTCCCCGCCCACCCAAGCGGCCCCCCCCAACCCCAACCCCCCACCACCCCCGCAACCGCACCCTCGCCCCCCACCGCCCCTCAACACCCCAACACCCCCCCCACCCCCCCCACCAATGCACCCACGCTGACCCCAGCCCACCCCCCCCCCCCGCCCCCATACACCCCCCCCACAACCCCCAACCCCCCCACCCCGCCTCCCGACCCCCCTCCCACCCCACCCGCCCGGGCCCACCAGTCCCACACCCCCCTCCCACAGACCACCCCCTATAACCACCCCAACCCCGGCCTCCCCCCCCAACCCCACGTCCCCACCCCACCCCCCGCCCCCCACACCCCCCACACTCCCCTACTCCCGCCCCGCCCCCCACCCCCCTCACCCCCCGCCACCCCCAAAAAAGCGCCCACCAGGACCCCACCCCCGCCAAAACCCTACCCACATAACGCCCCGCGGCAAAACCCATACGCCCCCACCCCCCACCCCCCCCCACCCCCCCTCCCCCCAAAACGCCCCAACCACCAACAACCCCCACCCCTCCCCCCCCCAGCCCCCACCCCCCCCCCTCCCGCCACCAGGACACGCCACACACAGACCCCCCGCCCCACAACCCCGCCCCCCACCCCACACACCACCCCACACCCCCCCCCTCCCCAACCCCCAAACCCCCCCCCGACCCCCAAAACCGACTACCACTCCACAACCGCCCACCCGCACCCCCTCGCGCAGTCCACTCCCGCCCAACCCCAACCCACTCACGCGACCCAACGCGCACACCACTACAACCCAAAACCAACCCACCCCCCCTCCCCCCCCCCACAACCACCCCCGCACCCGTCCCCCCCTCCCCCCCCACACCCCCCCCCCGCCCCAAACCCAAACCCCAACCCGCGTACCCTCCCGCCCATGCCAGCGCAGCCCCCCCCCCCACAGAACCCTACTCCCCACCCCCACCCCCGCACACCCCGCCCCCACCCCCCACCACCCGCACCCACCCCCCCCCCCCCCCAGAAGCCCCCCCACACAGCACACCCTCCCGACCACCACATACACAACCCACCACCCTCAACGACACCACCAACACCCCTCGCTACGACCCCCTACCCACACCCCCCCCCAACTCACCCCCCCACACCCACACACCCCCCACACCGGGCCCCCCCCCCTACACCCCACCCCCCCCCACACCCACCCCCCACAGCCCCCACCCCCCCCTCGGACCACCCCGACCCCCCCACCAAGCCCCCCCCAGCCCCCCCGAAACGCGAACCACCCCCCAACAACAGAAACCCCCCGGCCCACGACAAACCGCCCCCCCCAGAGCCCCACCCCCACCCCCAACAACCCCCCCCCCCCACCACCCCCCCCACCCACGACCCCCCCTCCACACCACCCTCACCGCGCCAGCCAACCCCCCAAACACCCACCCCCGCAACCATTCCGCCGACACCGCCGCCACACCCGCCGCCCACCCAGACCCCCCCGGGCCCCCCAACCCCCACCCATCCCCCCCCGCCACTCCCACCAACCTGCCCAGCCCACCCCCCCCCGTCCAACACGCAACCCCCCCCAAGCACCTCCCCCAACACCCTCACAACCACGCAACACTCCAGCCGACCAACCACGACACCACGTCCCCCCCAGCAAACCCCAACCCAACACCACGGCCGCAACCGCCACCCCGCTTCCCCAACCCCCCCCCCCCCCCACAAACGCCACACACACCCCCCACACCCCCCCCCCCTCCCCGGCCGCCCCCCCACCACCCCACCCCCCCACCCCCCATGCCCCCCACCGCCCCAACACAAAACACACCCCACATACCCCCAGCCCGCCCACCCGACCACCCCCGCCCCACCCCGCACCACCCACCTACATCCCGAACCCAACTCCCCCCATACACCTCGCCACCGCCCCCCCCAAGCTCACCAGGCACACACCCCCGACACCACCCCCCTCCCCCCCCCCCAAACCCACCCCCACCCCCCCCTCAAAAACTACCCCTCACCCCCCAGACCACCACCGCACAAGACCACCCACCCCCCCCGCACCCAGCCACCCAAACCCGCCCGCCATCAACCCCCACACCCCGCACCACCACCCACCCCCCCCACAACGCGCCGCGGCCCCGACCGCACCCCCGCCCCCCCACCATCTCCAGACCCCCACCCCCCCCACCCAACCCCCCACCCCCCCCCCCCACCCAACCCCACCGGGCACCACACCCTCCCCACCCCACTCAACCCCCCCCCACACCCCCCGCCCCCCCCGCTCGGGAACCCCCCCACGCACCCCCACAAGCCAACACAAACCCACCACCCCACACGGCCCCCACCCACCCACACCCCACCCACGCCCCCCAACCCCCACAACCCCGCTTCACCACCATCCCCCGCACCCCCCCACGGCACACCCACCCCCAAAGACACCCCCTCACCCCCCGCATCCCAACACATCCCAGCTCCACCCCGCCCAACACCCAAAGCTAAGCACAGCCCGCCCCACACCACCCCCCCACCCAGCACAACCCGCAACGCGCTCCACGCCACGCCCCTCACGCCCCCCCCCCAGTCCCCCACCACACCCACCCCGCACCCCACCACCACCACCCGACGGACCTCCCCACGCCAACACACCCCCAGGACAACCCAAACCCCCCCTCGACCCACACAGTCCACCCCACACCAAACCGAACACCCCACTCCCTCCCCACCCACCCTCCCACGCTCCCCACGCACCCTAACACCCACCGAACCACCCAGCCCGACCCCCCCCCCAACACCGAGCCCCCCACACCCACCCAGCACCGCCTGCACCCACAACGCGCCCCCCCGCCCCCCCCCATCCAGCCGCACCCACGCCCACAACCATCAGCCCCCCCGTGAAACACCCCCCTCCCCCCCCCCCCCGACCACCCCAACCACACCCCCTCCCCCACCCCCCACAACCCGCACCACCCACCCCCTAACCCATCATCCCAACCCCCCACATACCCCAACCCCCACCTCAAAACCCCTCCCCCCCCCCCCCCACCTCCAACCACACCACCCGCAGCCGCGCCCCCCCGCCCCTCACCAACACCTCACACACCACGAAAACCAACCCCAACCCACAACGCCACCCCACCCTACCCGCACCCCCCACACCCCCCACCCCAACGACCCGCCGCCCCCGCCTACCCCCCCCAACACCCCCCCCCCTCCCATGCCGCGCCCAACCCCCCACAAGCCACACCAACACCCCCCCCCCCACCCACCCCCCCACCCACCCCCCGCCACCCCACACCAACCTCCAAATCCCTCCGCACCACGCCACCGAACAACGCCCCCCCCACCCCGCCAACCCGCCCCCAACCCACCCCCAGCCACCCCACCCAACCACCAGACCCCCCCCACCCCCCCACCCAGACCACCGACGACAGCCCCCCACGCACCCCCAGCCCACCCCCGCCCCCCAACCCCTAATACACCCCTCGACCCCCACCCCAGCCCCGGACCAGACTACCCCCCCGACCAACCCCCACCCAGCCCACCACCCATCCACACCACACCCTCCCACCCCCAAACTGCCTCCCCCCCCAAGCCCAGCCCACCAACCCCCCTCCCCCTAGTCCCGGAACCCATCCCCCCGCCCCCGCCCCCCCCCCCCCCTACACCACCCACCGCCGCAACACCCCCCCACCAGAGCCACGACCCCCAACCCCCCCCCCCCCCCACAAACCCCACCGAAAGACCCGCTCACCCCTACCACCTCCGCCCCCCCCCACCGCCCCACCCCCACAACCCCTCCCCCATAAAACCCCCACACACCCCGAAACCAACCACCACCCACCAACCCCCGGCCCCGCTACCCAACCCCCCACCCCCCCCCCCCACCCCCCCAGCACCAAGCGACCCCCCCCCCACAAACCCCTACCCCGCAATCCCCGCGGCAGTCCAAAAATACCCCGCACACCACCCACCCGCTCCCACGCCCAACTCCCCCCCCCCCCCCCTCCCCAACCAACAACAAACACGCCCGCACCAACCCAACACCCCTACGCCTCACAACCCCACGGCCCACGACCCCCTCCACACCCAAACCACTCTCACAACACCAGACCACCCAGCGCCGCTCCCGACAACCGAACCACCCCCCCACACAAACCCACCATCACAACCCCCCACCCCCCGCTGCCCACCCCACCCCTCCCCGCCACACCCCCCAGACCGCGCCCCCTCCCCAAAACCCAAAAGATGACCCGCCCCCACACCCCCTGCAGCCCACCTCCCCACCGCCCCCCCCCCACCCCCCCAAACCCACACCACCCCCCCCCAACCCCCACACCCGCCCCGACCTGACGCCCCCCCCCCCCCACGCACCCCCCCACACGCACCCACCAAACCCCCCCCCACGACGACCCCACTCAGCGCAGACCCCACATTCACCCACCCGACCAACCCCCACCACCGCCCACGACCCCCCACCCGAAACACCACCACCCCCCCAACAAACCAACACCCACGGACCCCCACCCCTCCCCCCCGACCCGCCAGGGCCACCCTCACCAACCCCCCCACCCCCCCACCCCCCCACACGCACCCCCCGCCCCACCCAGCACCAACCCCGCGCGCGCACCCTTAACCCCCAAAAGACCCCACCTCACACAACTCGCTACCCCCGACACCCCACCCCCCCTGCAACCCGAGCCAACGGGCCCCCCAACAACTCCCAAACGCCCCCCAGAAACCCGCACACACACACGCCCACCGCCCCCAACCCCCCCACGCCAACCACCCAAGCGCACCCCCCCACTCCCCTACCCCCCGATCCACCCATCCCACCAGCAACCCTGAACAAGCGTAAAACAAACCCCACCCCCCACCCACCCACGCACACAACCCCTCACGACCCCCCCCCAGACCCCCCCACGAACTGCCCCCACCCCCCCCATCCAACAACGACCCCCCCAACCCACCGGCCCCCCCTCCCCCCCCAGCGCACCGGCCGAACACACCACCCCCAAGCGGAGGCCCGCCCCGACCCCCCCCACACACCGCCGCCCCGTACAGCTCACGGCCAAGAACCACACCCGCCAGCCCTCACGCCACACCCGACAACACCACCCTGACACACGCCACACAGACCCCCACACCACCACCGCACCATACCCCCCCCACGCCCACCCCCCCCCAACGCCCACCCACGCACCACCCGCCCCCCCCCCACACCCCCCCGCCCCCACCCACGGCCGCGAGACCCCTCACCCCCCCACCCACAGACACCCTCCCGGCCACCACGCGAAGCGACCGTACGGACCACGCAATACATACGCCGCCCACCTCGCACCCCCATCCAGACGACCCCACCCCCCCAGCTCCCACACCAGCCCACCCCCCGCCCCCCACCCACCATACGACGCCCCAGGACTACCCCCCCACTACCAAGCAGACCCCACCCTCCAGCC